TATTAGGCGAGCAGTGATTATTTTATCATATCCAAATTATCTCTCAGTTGTTAGATGCTTAATTGGTGCTTCCCTTGTCTCATTTATTTAATAAAAGGTAATTGCAGGTTATGAGAGTACTAAAAACAACATGGAACTGGAATGTTCTGGAATGCCCATGAAAATACTTTGGAATATCAGCTGAATATTCACAATAGTCATTTTACATTCAGAACATTTTCTGATCAAATCATGATGTGTCCCTCTAAAGTTTACTGCCAGCAGTTATATATTATTTATTGAACATTGTTCCAATACCTTTCCTGACAACAGAATTGTCAATCCTTTGGCAAATTTGAACAGTCTTCCAGATATTGATTATTCTTTGAATTTTATGCACGTTAGCTTGAAGAAACATGTGGGATTTGGCTTGAATAATCACTCTTGCAGTATGACAGACTACATTGATAGTCTTAACTTAAAAGATCCTTCAGGAAATCAAAAAGAGCATTGTCCATTTAATCCTTTGTTCATGCAGCATGCAACCATAGAGTAAAATAACTAGTTGGAAACAACAAAAATGTCTAAATATATCTACTGTACCTTTTTCTGTATTTGAGTAGGACCAGCTTTAACCTATCATGACATACAAATATTGACATACGAACACATTGTAAGCTCCCCCCAAAATTACTATTTAGCTTTTCACAAAATCATATCCTACATACACTTATGCAGCCCAGCTACTTACTACACCCTATGCGTCTTTCATTCTGTAAAATTGAAAGCTTATAGATAAGACACTGTCATCATTGCCTCTACTGTTGTTAAAAATGTTTAAAAGAGGCAACCATTAAGATCATATCAAGATTTAAATGCGTTGCAGTTGATAGCATAAATGTTCCATCATCCCAATGTTTGAAGAGAGTGCCCCACATTATGCTCCCACCCCATTTTTTAAAAAAAAGGAACGTAGGATTGAAAACCCAGATAGAGACTTCCGGATGAGCATGGTCTGAGAGGGGTTGTTGTTTTTAACAGCTCCGGATCCTTGCCTGTGTTAAACTGTCTAAACAGTATCCATCAACTGTTTGACAGTTTGATTACCTCTTCTCCGGGCATAGGAGGAGGAGGTGAGAAAGCTGTGTTTGGATAGCGCTCCATTTAACTCCCCCAGAACATAAATCTGGGGGTGGGAGGTGTGAGCCGCCTGGCAACACAGTGAATTCTCCGCGTCAAGGACTTCTTCTTTCTTTTTGCAGAACGAAGGCATACGTCCACCATCAGCTCAAGGATTGATTTATTACTGATTCCAACACGAGCAGGCTAGTACTGGAGAACTTCTAATTGTATGTATTAAGACTTTAACTCCATTTTTTAAAGAATTCCTTCTGATAAACTACTTGCTAGAAACACACAGAAAATGGCACCAAACAACTTTGTAGGTGGGGTCAGGCTCTGATGCTACAGATTTTTACNACATTTAAAGACATTAAAAAACACTGTGCTGCAGTTTGAAACTTGTGCGCGGTGTTTCTTTGTTACCTGCGCGGCCGCTCACGCGCGCAGCTTAAAGCAAACGCTGGCCACAGGTGGCACGCAGAGGCTTCTCTGCAAGCATATGAGCCGTCATCCCAGCTCAATTCCGCAGTGCACGCGTGCACGCCTCCCACTGGCCAGCTGGTTTTCAGGTTCCTGCTGCACGGGGGCCGAAGGGCATGCAAGAGATGTGCATGCATGTATGGGGGCAGGGGGCACATGTGGGGGTCATGCATGCATGCACAGGGATGGGGTGTGTGCAGGGGGCTGCATGCGTATGCACAGGGCAGGGCACTTTTATAGGGGTCACACATGCATGCATGGGGGCGCATTGTGTTATAGGTGTGCATACGCATGCTTTCAGCACTCTGTGCCGAAAAGGTAATCCATCATTGTACTAGAAGATAACTTCCTGATACTGCATGCTGTTACTGTATGGAAACTGTTTCCCCATAGCTGCCATAGCTATTCCCCAAAAAAGGCCAAAGCAACATTAGGACCAGAGAAAATGTGGTAGAGGATTGGGATGTGAGCTTATGCTGTTTTGTCTATTGGCCAAGACCTACAAAAAACAGGTCTGTATCTATCCCATGTTTAAAAGTAATGTGATGTACACCACAGCTGTTTGCAAATCATGCCAGCCATGATCTATAGGCTAGTACAATGTGTGAAGTTAGCCAACAGTGGCCTATTCAATAAACCATTGACTGCTGCTTGTGGTGGACACAGGAATTCTAAATGCCATGAAAATAATAAGTATAAGCTGCAATTATGTCATAGGCAGATGCAACATACATAATTTGTAGCATGATTCATGTGATATCACTTGCTGTACTGGTTACCCCCACCCCTAAGGATCCTTCTGGAATGCAGTGACTTCAAGGCACATACAGTTTGTTCCATTAGACTAGTCTGCCTACTCTGGTATCCTCTTAGATATTTAGATTAAAATTCTCATCATTCTCTCAATCAGCACATTCATTGGCCATCCTATTGGGTCAAATTAGAGTTGTAGCACCACACAACTAAAGAGGATCAGTTTAAAGAAGCCTACCCTAAAGACTGGATATTGCCTGTTGGCAACCATGCAGTCATCACACTTCATTCTTAAATAAGTGATATCTATCTGTCTGTCTGTCTATGTCTGTTGTCTGTCTGTCTGTCTGTCTGTCTATCTAATCTATCTATATCTAGTTAGTATTAAGTCCTGCTGACTGACTGCATAGTCCCTGCAGGGTTGTTGCTGTTTTGGCAATATTTTTGGAAGTGCCCCAAAGGTGCTTTTTCAAGAGGCAGCTGGACTTTCTGGTTTTTCTTTGAAGACATTTTGCTTCTCATCCAGAAGCTTCTTCGCCTCAGAGAAACACCAGGAAGTCCAATTGCCTCTTGAAAAAGCACCTCTATGACAACCAATACCTGGATGACTAAGCATCTCCATAGACACTTTGGGAAGTGGTTTTGCCTTTACCTTCTTCCTAAGGCTGAGCTAGAATGATTTGCCCAGCTGACTTTGTACCTAAGGCGGGACCCTGATGGTCTCCCGGTTTCTAGCCTGGTGCCTTAATCACTAGGCCAAACTGACTCTTTAAACATAAAAAAGTTCTCCATAAAATAAATGTTTGTATATGTATTTTTAAGTTGAATCTCTTATCTGGATTGTGATTGTAATGAATTGTACATACACAGACTGGAGATGTAGAAATTGTGGCTGTACTAAAATTCCCTCCATTCCTCATTATTGCTAGTCCAATTTGAAAATTTAGTGATTTCCAAAAGTTCAAATATGTCTTTGAAATCAAGAAGAGCATCATTCCTAGTTCAGATGAGTAAATTTCCTTCCTCAGCAAACCCAACCTCATATCTTATTTTCTTGTGCTGCTGCTCACCTCCCAGGGTGGAGACCAGTCATTAGAATTAAGCATCAGCTCATTAAAAACAGGGCATTGCTATAAAAGCAAGGAAGCTGATGACAAACAGCACATCATTTATGAAAGCCCAACCTCAGCTTGGTATTCAAACTTGGTGAATCAGGAAATTTCACTGAATGAGTAGGACAACAGAGGATTGCAAAGCCTGTTTGTAATTAACTACTGGCTTGCATATAGTCTACATCATCCTGGGATATGCGCAGGATTGCCACAATTATTATTCGTTTTTAATGGTGGTGTCATTGTAGATGATGCTTGATCTCAAATATTGTGATACTGCATCTTTTGTTGTTGTTTTCAATCCTATGGATTGTAATCTTTGTAAGGTTTGACAAATGCACAGCTTTATTTCACCTTACTCACTCCATCCCATGCAGTCGGAGGAAGTAACTTTTCAAGTGAAACATGAGGCAATGGTAGATAAAATCAGGAACTGATGTCTGAGAAGAAAGAACACTTTTTAAATAGAAAAATATTTAATTTTTAAAAGGACTAATCATGATTCCCCATGTTTTCTGGGAAATTCTGGGAGTTGAAGATCCACACACTTAAAGTTGCCTAGCTTGAGAATCACTTCTCTAGAGTAAACCCACCACGATGCTACAGTAATATCAATGATCACGGGTTATTGCAATAGCTGAATCCACAGACTTACAATGCAAATAAGTAAATAATGGTAATATTAGCAAGATTTCTCAAACTCCTACCATTAAATGAAATTGAATCTATTAACTATATTCTTCTGTTTCTCACTAGCACTGAACTGATTGTTTCTCAAAAAGTTAATTTATTAATTTAATTTAATTTTAAAAAAATATCCCCATTACCACAATAAATACTTTTGAGTCACAATTGCTCTATCAACACACATCCCATTTATATGTGTCATATTGTCCCCAATCCTTTCCAACCTGCTTTGCCCTATTTGGCTGGTTCCCTAAAGGCATCCTATTGCATCAGCATGAATAAACTCTCTGGAAAAAATGCTATCTTTCAAAAGCAAATATTGCACACATCATGAAAGCAAATGTTCAGTAGATGCAATGAAACATAAAGAGATTTTGCAATTGTTGTTCAAAACTGACACAGAGGTTGACACTGAAGTGTTTTAGAAATTTTGTTTTTCTTCCTCTCTGTATGCCACACACACCACAAAACTAGAATTTTGAGAGCTGTAAGGCCCAGAGAATCATTCAGGTCATGATCTGAAAGAACAGCAGTAGACTTTTTTTCTATAGCAAGATCAAGGTTTGTGATGGGGCTTCTTAAAATCCAAAGCCTTATAAAATTGTGAGTCCACAATATATTGTTGTAGAGAAAAATAATGCCTTCCTGTCATTCAGGAAGTGTGTACTCTTCAAGGATGTACTAAATTAATTTGTGTTGCATTTTTTAAAATTATCACCTAGCATTTATTTTGATGCCAAAGAAGCCCGAATTCCTATACAGTGATAATACTTAACAATGATAAAGAATTAGATAACATTTAATGTATATGTGTTTGTTTGTATGTGTGCATATAAATAAACAAAAACTCATCTTTTAATTTGGGTTTATTTTTCATTCCATTGTTCATCAAACAATTCAAAAGGCATATTTAGTAGTCTTCTGCCCATTGTTTTGTCTTCCAACTATTCTGCGTAAACTACTCTTAGATATAATGTGTCATTTATTGTCACCAAGTGGCACCTGAGTGATTTGAACATGAATCACCTGGTTCCACATTCCGTTCCTTTATTTAAATATACATTGAATAAGTTGGCCAATTAGGATGAGTTTTAGGTTTTTTTTAAAGAAAAATTCATAGAAATAGGAAGAAAAAAAACCAGGATATGGAATTTGCAGATCAGGAATAGTAGAATAGAAGCTATCAAACAAACAAAAAGTTGTATAAAAACATTCTTTTTACTACCATTTTGCCATATGAATACTAAAATTGTGTTTTGTTTTATTTTTTCTACTATTTTTTTTCCCTTAGAACAGATGGTACTTTGTTAATGTAGCACTTCAAATCTGTGTGGGAGATACAGAGAGGCAGACCGGCCAGTAGAAAGACAGACAGACAGACAGACAGACAGACAGACAGACACATGAGAAAGATTGTGCCCGGTCAAGGTACATGCAATACATCAGGAATCAATTTTGAAAGCAAGCTTAGTGGATGACAGTTTGTTTGAAAGTTTATTTTCAAATGATAGCATACTAAGATATCAGAGGACTTCTAAAATGTTTGACCTTGGTATAAAACTCAAAAATAAACATTATTTATTTATAACTCACTGATTGTTACCCTAATGTTTAATGATTTGTGACTTTTTCCAATGTTTCTCTCTGCATTCTGATTCAATTTACTTATAACTTGCAATATATTGCACATAAACAGAAGAAAATGGTAGGAATTTTCTTTCCTACATTGATGACAACTTCACTGTTCATTGACACTGGAATACTTCATTGTTTATTGGTTGTTCTATTGATGCACAGATGTGTCTCCAGGCTGTTGATAGACTGGCAACAGAATCACATGTGTATGAATCAGAGTTCTGCAAAGACATTTTGAAGTACATAATCATTTCAGCTCCAATATATAAGTATTTAAAGAGAACATATCAAATGGTTTTAATTAAAAGTAGTATTGCTCCTAGGGCTAGAAGGTCAATTAGGGGCATGGAATTTCCTCAATGTAATAGCATTTTGTTTCATATCTAACTAGCGTGTGTACCTCAAAGAGCAGCTAATAATCTAGGAAGGTAGCTAAGCTTTCCTTGGTTACTGACTCATAAAAAAAACATGATTTTAGTAACGCATCCCCCTCTATTTGGCATTTATTGTTTAATTTATTTATTTCATGAAACAAATATTCACAGCATTATTTTAAACTAAGACCACTTAATGGTCTTAGTGAGCTTTTTGATGGTCATATCAGCTATTGGGACACGGGGGATGGGGGTAGAGCTGTGCTCTATGCAGAATAATGTATTCTGTGCTGTTTTAAAAACTACATACGCTTTCACCCTTGAAGAAAACTGTAGTTTTTTGTCCAATGGAGAATACAGAACAGTGGTGGGTTTCTCGCCCCGTTCCAACCGGTTCGGTTGGAACGGGGCCGGCGGCGTCCTCGTGCACGCGCGCAGTGCATGCATGCGTACTAGCATCTGCGCGACGCTCCAGCTGCTCCTGGACGATCGCGCAGGCGCTGGATACGTCCTGCGCATGTGTGGAAGCGCAGAACTCGTCAAAACCGGGTAAGGACCACGGGCGGGCGGGCGCACCCTTCGCCGTTCCCGGAAGTTACTTACTTCCGGGTTCAGCGACCAACCGGTTCACAGGGACCACCGCGAACCGGTTGAAACCCACCCCTGATACAGAAACATGATAGTTGAAAAGTACCTGGCAAAAGTGAGCTATGATGCTGGACTGATAACCTAAGACAGTGTGTTTTTTCAGTCTGTTCTTGTTTTAGTCAAATATAATTTGTAAATTAATATTTAAGTTTGTTGGGTGTACATTTCCATGCATGCAGAAATGATTGAAAGTACAGATGGATACTGGTTAATATTAAATTCTATTATCCTGAGGATTTTAACTTAGTACATGTGAGATATTGATGTTTTCTAAGACATGCGAAAACTAAAATCTCAGGAAATAGAAGGGGATGGAGAAGAAAGACAATGAAAACTGTATACAACAGATGATATTTAAGTATCTCAATAATTCAATTCATAAAGATTATTAAGTGTTGCCTGGGGCCAAACTCTCTCAACATACTGTACTTAATCTGACAGAACTATTATAAAAAGTAAAACAGGGAGATGTTTATGGACCTTCTCAGTCATCCAGATCATGGTTGTCCCAAAGGTGCTTTTTCTGAAGGCAACTGGACTTTCTGGTTTTTTTTTGATGCCGTTCTCATCAAAGTACCCTAAAGTACCTCTGGATAAAACAGAGAGATAAAATAAGACAGGGAAAACACTTAAAGCATGACATCTGACATGGTTCCCCAAGTCCTTTATCAGCATTGACAAGACATTTGTGTATGTGGGTGCCCTGCGAAGCTGAGGGGAGGATGCACATTCTTCTGCCTAGATCACTTGACCAAGTGGAAGGGGCTTGGACTGAAGGAGGCAATAATATTGTAAGTCTCTTGCATCTGCCTTTTCCATAGATCAGTGGTTCCTCTGCTGGCTGGAGAATTCTGGGAGTTGAAGTCCACAAGTCTTAAAGTTGCCAAGTTTGGGAACCACTGCCATAGATAAACACTGAAAGAATTTGAAGGGGAAATTGCCTCATCTGACTTAACCCATTTTGAAAACTTGATCTTTCTTTTACTGTTCCTCCCACCAAGATACATCCATCAAATCTGCTCATATTCTATTTGATGAACAGAAAAAAAAAAACCTTTGTTGGGTTGGAAAGGAAGAAAAAGAACCAGTTAAATTAGACAAACCTTCCAAGCATGAGCATTGCAAAAAGTTAATGGACTAAACCGGGCTGAAATGCTAGATGAGAGTCTTCCCAGAAGAGTAACAGTGTTTTGTTTCCTCCTGCCAGGATCAGTCAAATAATCCTAGCCTGGGTATAGAAAATCCAGCCTTGTTTATCACTCATGCATCCTGCAGTTTGTTCTTAAAAATCAAACAATTAATTTTGGGGAAGGCACATTCTTTTTGGAAGGATAACACAAGCGCCAGGGCTACAAGCTCTGTGTTGCTAACTTGTGATGTACATCCTTTAAATAAATATATTCATTGCAGTTCTTTTAGGAAATGTTCAGATGTTACACAGAAAACAGCTATGTAACTACCAATTAAATGAAGACTAGAAGCTCTATAGTTCTCCAGCTATGATTCAGCACAGCCCATTTTTCTTTGATCAGTGACCAAACTGGCTTTAGCTCCCAGGTGCTGGTGGCTAACTATAACTCAAAGGCTACACATTGCTCACCCCCCAAATTAAATAGATCCCATGGCTTATAAATGCCACATAAACTCTTAATCCCTGTTTAATTTCACTGGAATCTACTGGATACTTTTTCTTCTATTATTTCCCCCTAAAAACAATCTATCAGCCTGTGTCTATGATATATATGGTAGGGGGAAATTGTGCAAACATTTCATGTGAATGTGCTTGCAAATGCTTACAATACTCATAGGTTTCCCTGAGATCAGTGGATACTACCGTATTTCCCCCAAAATAAGACCGGGTCTTATTTTCTTTTGACCCCCTGAAATAAGCGCTTGACCTTATTTTCAGGGAGGTCTTATTATTTTTGAGGTACAGGAGGCAGTGAGCGTGGCCACCTCATGGTTGCTGCTGTGTTGCAATATTTTTGGGGAGGGCTTATTTTCAAGGGAGGGCTTATTTTAGCACATGCGTTCAAAAGCCCGATTGGGCTTATTATCCGGGGAAGTCTTATTTTCGGGGAAACAGGGTAATAGATGTGAATATCTGTCCAGGGCCATTAATGGAACATACCAGGCAATACCAGTGTTAGATCAGGAGCCCAAAGTATTAGATTATATGAAACATGATAGCAACATGGATTACTATTTTCTGAATTATGAAATGTGTTCATTTTATTTGTTTTCTTTCTATTTTATTTCTATCTGAATATTCTGCCTGGTAAAACTGGGTGGAAATTGTTCAAAATAAAGCTCTTCTTTAAACTGTGCAAAGCTCTTCATTAAACTTCGCAATAGGTCAGACTTAAAACTTTGATCAATTGCAGTATTTTTCTATGTTAATGAAATTAGAAAATGTAACATAATGGAACAATGCTGCCATCTACAGGGCAAGATGGCATTACATAACATAAATGGATGAACTATATCCTCAAAAAATTTCATTAATGATACTTTGAGCATAAGAATAACCTATTAGGTATATTCATCCTGCCTTATGGAGACCATGTATAAAGAGAGGAAATTCTTCCAATTTTGTGGTCTATATATGCACCCAACTTTGGGTTATAAGCATATGACCTTGTTGATGATTTGGAATGCACCCACATTCCTCGAAGCTTTTCATAGGTTCTGGGCAAATTTGCATACCTTGGCTTCATTTTATAAATTGTCTTAAAATATGCACATTTCCTCAATTCTGCTTAACTCTAAAGAAATATTTGTTTCACCTCCAGTGTCTTTACTTTCTTTAAATTTAGATCTGAAGGGGAAGTCAATGAAAACCATATTTTTAACCCTTTTAACCTTTTGTAATCAACCTGTAACTATTGAGGCTATTGTTGTTGTTATTGTTGTTTTGTTGTTGTTGTTATCTCTTTAATTCATTAAATATGAAACACAGTCAACTGAACTTTTAAAAATGTGTCACAAATACCTTTGACTGGTACTGATGGTTGATATGGGTTGCTGCCAGCATCCTAGGTATCAACCAAGTATCTTCTTAAAATGTACAATGTTCCGAGTAGCACAGTTTTTTGCAGTTCTGCTGGTATTATTGCAGGAAGCTGCAATTTATTAGTGTATTTTATAAAGTTCTTGGATATGGTATCAAGTGCCCCGATGACAATGGGTATCACTGTTATATGTTTCATCCATAGCCATGTAGTTTTGATGGCCAGGTAGTGATATTTTGTAATTTTTTTTGTTTTTCTTCGACTCTGGCATCTCTTGTCAATAAACTGTATGCTTTGGCCCTCAACAACCATGATATCTGGCTTATTGGGTTCCAAATGATGGTCAGTCTGTATTCGAAAGTCCCACAAGATCTTCACTGTTCCATTTTCGGTGACTTGTTCCACTTTGTGCTCCCATGATCTTTCGGGCATGTCATATTTTTTTAAATAATGTGTATTATTGTTATTGTGATTGTGGTTCATATAATGTCTTTCAACCCATAAGGTACCTAAAAAGTTAACAGCACACAAAATATACAAATTTAAAGTACTCTAAACTAACTCAAATTACTATAAACAGCCTTATTGTAAACTAGCTCAAAGAAGCTGCAAAGGAAGAATCTCGCCAAACTTTTCCTAAAGCCATAAAAATGGGAACTTAGGACAGCTCCTAAAGGAATACATCCTGTAGAACAGATCTCCAAACTTGGCAAATTTAAGACTTATGCGCTTCAACTCCCAGAATTCCTCAGCCAGCAGCTTGAGTTGAAATCCACAAGTCTTAAACTTGCCAAGTTTGGAGAGCCCTGCTGTAGAAGAAGGAAGTCCTGTACGTGTCAAAGAAAGATATTTTTAAACGACCCTTTTCTACTGATTAACTGCTTCAGATCAAGGTAGATTGCTCCTCAAGAAGATTCCATTAGAAGAATTAGGTATCCTGTTTCTTTCCACCAGACTAACATTGGCTTCTTTCCATTTGACATGCCCTCTAATAATCAGGTGGAGAAATATGCACCTAAGTAGACTGAGACAGAACCATGAGGGATCTTGTGTTCACAAGCTTCTTGTGTTGTTTTCCAATGGATATGAGAGACATAGTTATAATTCCCAGTGAACTGTTCAGAGTTGGCTGAAGAGAGTTAATTTAATTCTGAACAGAACCAGGGCTGTTTGGAGTTAAATGTATCCCTTTACAAATATTAGACAGATCATCTTACTTGTTTTTCTGAGCATATAATATAATCCTAATCACCTCATAACTAAGTGCTATGCAACAGTGGTGGGATTAAAAAAAAATTATTACGGTTCTGTGGGCAAGGCTTGGTGGGCATGGCAGGGGAAGGATACTGTAAAACTCCATTCCCTCCCCATTCCAGGGGAAGGTTGCTGCAAAATCCCCATTTCCTCCCAATCAGATGAGACTTGGGAGGTAGAGTGTAGATGGGGGCAGGGCCAGTCAGAGGTGGTATTTACTGGTTCTCCGAACTACTCAAAATTTCCGCTCCTGGTTCTCCAGAACTGGTCAGAACCTGCTGAATACCACCTCTGCTATGGGATCTGGGCCATTGCATGTATGGAAGATAATATCAAATGGTTATGGTTATTTTGTGAATCAAAGCCCTGAATTTAAAGAGTAGTTCAAAGTTATGCAGGGAAATTATTCTGGAAGTGCTCAGGAAAAAGCTAGATAATGTCATGGAGGCAACATTGATAATTACTTTAATACAAAATATGATTTTGTATTAATTAATTAATTAATGCAAAATACTTTAATACAAAAGATGATTCCATTATAAGTTTTACACACTATGCACCACATTCGTATAGATACTGGTAAATAAACCCCATTAAGTTTGATAAGACGTATTCCATGTCAGCAGGATTAAAGATCTGATTTAAAATCTTGAAGTTGTGATTAAACTGTGGATTGCTCTTCTGCAAGTCATCTCTTAGATGCTTTGCCTCCGTTTGTTTCCCTCTTTACTGTTTCATGGACTTCCTAACTGAATAAGCAAGGACAAGTCATGAGCCGCCTTGCTGCACAGGGCCATTTTCTCTTACCCTGCCCTCACTGACAGTCAGCATTCATCCAGGCTTACTTGCGCTTTCTAAATAACCCAACAGGATTTTGTATGGCTTTATATTTGTATAGTATTCTTTAAAATATCTGTGCATTCCCAAGTTTTCATTCACATTCATTCTAACATTTGTCGTCCCCCCGCCCTTAGTTTCAGAGTCTACCTGTGTGCACTGAAATCTCCATTCTGTATGGTCTGCAGAAGATCCCTAGCTGAGCTTTGCAGGGTGTGTGCCATCTTTCAATCAGTCAAACCTTATATTTCCAACCATCCATGTTGCTATCAACCTTCCAGCTTTAACTCTAGAGCTGTTATAAACCTTTTTTTTAATTGTGCTACAAAAAATTACATGGCAATTATCATTTTTTCTCAGGAATGATGTCTGGGGGTAATGCCAAAGATATTTATCTTGTTTTCATTTTTCTAGCTTGTCTTGTGCCAAGTGACTACTTTAACCTGCTACAACAGGGTTGTCAAACTCCAGGCCCACGGGTTGGATGCGTCACCCACTGGCCACGCTCACACCCATTTTAGCAAAGGGGGAGAAAGTCCCAATATGCCAAGGGACACTGACATGATGACATGGGTTTGACACTCCGGTGCTACAAAGTTTGGAGAGCCTGTTCATGTTTCTCCATTGCTGACTTTCCATTCTAGACATTGATATTGGTCTGATGACTATTTGATAGGCTTTGGATTTCAGGTATAAAGGAATCTTCTACAGCACTAATAAAAATGTAAATTTTGAAAAGGGATATTCTTTTGTAGAGGCACCCAACTTGTCTAAAATCCTTTCCTCTTTTTTATTCCTTGCTATAATTTCTCATCTACATAAGGCAAAAAGAAATTACTGCATGTCATCTAAATTAATTTTATCAAAGCCTATAGGAAAGAAAAATATATCTAGAAAAAGATTATTGATGTGAAACATGCATTTTGGTTTTGGGTTCTGCTTCTCCCATCTCTTCTACCTATTTTCTAGTTCCATCAAAAATGCATAAAATAAATGTTACCTTACATATCAATTTTTTTCTGTTCTATCCATTGTCACTCATGGTAGTACCAGAGTAACTTGATAAATGCAAGCAGGACTGAAACCGCAACAAGGCAGTTGAGAAACCAGAGTGAGGTGTCAGCAGGGATCCCTTGAGGATAACAAAACCACAGAACACACTTAGGGAACCAACTCCAAAGAAAGCGAAATGGAAAGTTACACACTAAAAGAACTGGAATGAGAACTGAATGTACTTACTATGCATTTTATTGCAACAATAAGTAGTTGCAATAACTACACTGACATACAACAATAAGTTATTTATAACTGTGGCAAGACTTGCAGCATTTTAATCATGAGAATGATGAGAACTAACATTGCTCCATTGATAGATTGGCATCTTAATCCATTGTCCACATTCTCTGAGATACTCCACCATTCCCATTCGGCCTACAGAATATTCATTCCTCCAAAATAATGCTCAACAGCAAGCCAGTTGTGTTGGGAAGAAAGGGTTGTTTTTTAATAAGCTGTGATCTGACTAATTGTTAATAACAGTTGATACGTATTATGCTTCTTTATTTTAAAATTATTTGAAAAGTCTTCATTGTGGCCTGAACTCTGTGAATTTTCCTTTGTTTATTTAAAAGATTTCTACCCATTCAGGGAAGAACTTGCAAAATGAGTCACAAAAAATAGCAAAACCATGGAAAGGGAAAATATTAAAATACATTAAATATTAGTGAGCAGACTAAAGAATGGTTGTCACTTATATATTATATCTAAATGACATATAAAGAATAACTCCCAGCTTTAGAAACATACTTGGAAAAGATAGCTAAGCATAGCAGCTCATATATTAAAAGTATATACAATGCTACATAATTCCAAAAAGAATTGCAAAAATAACTGGAAAATATTTTAATGTGTTTCTAAACATATATAACAAAAAGGGGGAGGGTGGTTTATTGATGGCATTCAAAATTATAAGCATTATCAATCAATAATTAATTTTGTACTACATTGTAATTTGCAATATTGTACTAAAAATGAATGAGCAAATTGGAAGATGTTTTAACACCACCACCCCCTCCTCGAGGACAGCCCTAGCTTTAGGGAAGTAAACATGGATGTAAGCAATCCTTCAGATATACTTGCTGTAAATAAAGAAAATTAACAGGCATTCACATTTATTTAAGGCAGGAATGTCAAACTCGATTTCATTGAGAGCCGCATCAGGGTTGAGTTTGGCTTCAGGGAGCCGGAGAGGCCATAGTCAGGATGGGGATAGTGGGTGCCTGAGCACTCTACCAAAAACGGGCTCCTGATCTCCATTTTCAGCTGCAACAGCCTCCTGCAACCCCCTGCTGGCAAAAATGGAGCTTGGGAGGGCCACAAGTGGCCCTACAGAGCTTCATTTTTGCTGGCACAGGCACTGTGGGCTAGTCCTTCACTGTTCCCAGGGCGGCTCCATGGGCCAGATCTAAGCACCCCATAGGCCAGATCCGGCCCCCAGTCTTTGAGTTTGACACTCCTGATAATTACAAGGTAATGTTTTTGTCAAGATCATGTAATAAAATCATCTCAAGTATAATTATCTCCATTTAAATAAAGACTTCAGGGTTCGTTAATATTTCATGTAGTTATTTTGAAATCAGAATTAGTAGACTAATCCTGATGTGCTAAAAATCCTTTAAAATAGAATTAAACTTTTCCTCAATCCCAAATAGGAAAGTGCAATCACATCCAAGATCAATGATTATAATATACACAAGTTGGAAGGTCCAACAACCAGGCAGTCTTGGCAGGATTGAACCAAAGTCCATTCCTCCCTATCCAGACCTAGTCTCCGGACACTGGGTCAAGATATTGACAACTCACCTGTGTAACCCAGGATTGAGATGTGCAGTTGGCATTATCTGTGTGGTGATGATACTAAAGCCCAAAAGGT